ACCACTCTTGGGTATATTCCGTTATACCGCAGCTTCCCCTGTCTGGACACCATCCACGGACCACACCCTTGAAATCCCTCAGGAAATAGACAGCACCCAGCTCTTCGTAAAACAGAAACCAACACTTTATTTTAACACAAAACAACATGTTTTATACACAGGGCGGGGAAACACAACCAGGAACAGGAAACACATCATCAACCCGCCCAATCAGTGGGAAGAGCTACAGGGAACCACCCCAACCAACCCAAGACACAGAACAATGGGATGACGCACATGGCAAACAAACAATGGACAGCCATGTGGCCGAGAACAAAGGAACACACACTATACACAAGACTGGGACATTCACACCCTGTACCCCTTAACAGGCACAGGGTCACTTAAACATAATGGGGGGAGAACATGAGCTGACACAGAGGTCCCCCCACCCCCAAAAGTCACTCCCGTCACAGTGCCCAAAACTGAACCTCATATTCTAGATGAGGTCTTACTAATGATCTGTACAGGGGCAGGTTTATTGTTCTCCGTCTGGAGACTTTACCTGGAAGTATACATTGCAGCTTTTCACAGTGATTGTGGATAGTACAGTCCCTTGTCACGTGCGTAAAAATTCTGATAACTACACAAGTTACAGAATTTGGAAACACTCAGCCCCAGGGGTTTAATAAGCGAAGTAAGCAACACCACAAGATAAACGGGAAGATAAAATGTTCGTTTCACTTGAGTGTACCTTTAAAGGGATCCCCTGCAGATTTCAGTTATTTGCAGATAAATGTGTATTTCCATTCTCATTATTTCATCTGCTAATAAAGCGCCACACTGCAACACTGCATGTGCTAATGTCACTGCGGTATAGTGATGGTATGTGAAATCGTTTTGCATTTGTGAGCACCCGAGGTCACCTTTATTATGTCTGACATATCCCAGATAATCTATGCAATACTAGACATTCACAGGTATGTACAGTACCCTTCAGCTGTATCTGCATTTAGGCTGAAAGAAAACAAAGACATTCTTTATTAAGTATAGAGGAGTTCTGTCAAAAATGCTCATAATTTTCCTTTATTTTTTAATGAGCACACTTCAATTAGTGATATTAAACCCTCGGTTTTTTTAAAGAAATTTCAGCCGCTGATTTAATCACTTAGTATGTATGTAGCGTTTTTATCCGTGCCTATGTTCCAGTTTAACCTGGTGCCCTGACAACTGCTCCAGGTTCTTTTCTCTTGCTGCATGCTATGGTGCTACTCTTGCATGCAGAGACTAGAGTGGAGTCTGCCTACACTGTGTGCATCAATAGAAACACACAGCCCCATAGCCTAGGATGGCAAGGCACTCTGCACACGAGCAGGAGTGATGTCATTCTGCACAGGCAAATCAAGATGACTGAAGACCAGCACCCCTGAAAGAAGATGGGGGGAAAAGATTTTGGTGAGGGATCTCATGGGTGTCAGATCGTTGAAGTAGTATGTATTACAGATTCTCTTCTGTGTGGATCGGAGGTTCAGGGAAGTAGAGAGAATAGGAGCCAGCAGCATTGAAAGGGATAAATGGCAAGAGCTGGGGTAAGAATTTTACCAAATTGCTTTCTGGAGAATGTTTTTTTTATTCAATCTTTCAAGCTAAAAGGGTTTAATACTATTTAAATAGAATATAGAACGTACTTGCTCTTGGAAGTAATTATTATTATACAGGATTTATATAGCGCCAACAGTTTGCGCAACGCTTGACAAAATGAAGATAGACATTACAGTTACAATACAAGATGGAACAGAGGGCCCTGCACGTTAGAGCTTCCAATTTATTTATTTATTTTTATTTATCTATTTTATTGCAGGTACTTATATAGCACCGTCAATTTACGCAGCACTTTACATATATATATATATATATATATATATATATATATATAGTATATTCACTTCAGTCCCTAACCCTCAAGGTGTGTACAATCTAAGGTCCCTAACTTACATTCATACATACACATATTAGGGACCAATTTAGACAGGATCCAATTAACCTACCAGCATGTTTTTGGAGTGTTGGAGGAAACCGGAGTACCAGGAGGAAACCCACGCAGGCACAGGGAGAACATGCAAACTCCAGGCAGGTGGTGCCATGGTTGGGATTCAAACCAAAAAAAATACAATAAATATATATAAATGAAAATACTGGCAAAATACAATACAGTTTTCCTTCAGATCTCCTGAGCTCTTACCATTTTTTCAGAGCAGCCACTGTGCCAGAATGCCACCAAATTTTGAAATGATTAACTAGGTAATGTTTTCCTAAAAGATTTTGTATGCACAACATTCCTACCTAAGCTGTACTAAACTAATTAGCAGCCATTCTTTTGGTATATTTATCTCTGTGAATCTATGCAAAACAGGGCATAAATCATGTTCTATTAACATCTGACAGACTATAAGCAAGGAAAGCGGTGATTATCAGACTTGTGTTAATAAGACTCGGGCTATGCTTAGATTAGGAGACGTACAACAGTGAGCTTTATAGCCTAAAATGTTAGCATAGGAAAATGGTCTTGCTACACCCGAACCAGCTTCTTGTATTCATATTACAGCGCAGTCATGGGAAATGAAAGATTAAAGTGGTATTAAACCCAAAAACAAAACTTAATATATTGCAGCTTACCAATGTAAACCCTCACCTTGTAAAGCAGCCCAGTCACTTTAAAATAGAATGAAAGGCAAAACAATTGTGTATACACATAAAAAAACATTAAAAAAAATTATAAATACCATTTCCCCCCCTTTTTTTTAAAGTGATCATATACAGTGAAGGAAACAAGTATTTGATTGCCTGCTGATTTTGAATGTTTGCCCACTCAAAAAAGAAATGATCAGTCTAAAAATTGAATGGTAGGTGCATTGTAACACTGAGAGACAGATAACAAAACGAGATTAGCAACACTCCCTTTAAGAGACTGCTTCTAATCTCAGCTTGTTACCTGTATGAAAGACACCTGATAGCCAGAAATCCTGCTGAATGATAGGGGATCAAATACTTATTTCCCTCATGAACATGCAAATTAGTTCATAATTTGTTAGACATGCATTTCTTTTGAATTTTTGCTATTCTGTCTTTTAGTGTTACAATACACCTACCATCCGATTTTTAGACTGATCATTTCTTTGTGAGTGGGCAAACATTCAAAATCAGCAGAGGATCAAATACTTATTTCCTTTACTGTACCCTCTGTTCTCAGCTGTATGATGAGCTTAGGGGGCTGGGGGAGGAGAAACAGCAGAACACTGGTCTCCTCAGTGAATGGCTGTGAGGGGGGGGGGGGGGTGAAGAGTGTCAGGACAAGTCTGATCATTAAAGGAAAGCAAGAGCCCCCAGCATAGCTAGATAACTGACCACACTGTGCTGTCCTACCTAGTTTGGTCAATTTTTAATAGGAAAGCAAAGGCAGTGTGAGGAACACCAGGGATTTCACACAAGAAGCAATACAAAAAGAACAGGGTACGTTTTCATACAAGTACCGTATTTTTCGCTCCATAAGACGCACTTTTTTCCCACCAAAAAAGGGGGAAAAATATCAGTGCGTCTTATGGAGCGAATATAAAGCGGCCGGTCCAGTATTTCCGCCGCCATCATGTCAGAATACCGGGCCGGCCGCTCAGCTGTTCTCTGCGGCAGGAAATCACCTGTTCCTCGGTCCAGAGCTGTAGTCTTCCAGCGCTGGCTTCTTCCCGCCCGGCATCTGTGACAGCCGTGTGCCCACTGCGCATGCGCGAGAAGCGCTGCGCTTTGTGAATGGTCCGGTGTCTTCTGGGACACATGACAGGTCCCAAAAGACGCCGGGCCATTCACAAAGTGCAGCGCTTCTCGCGCATGCGCAGTGGGCACCGGCTGTCAAAGTCGGGTGTGCCCACAGTATAGGAAGGAGAACTCTGCGGAAGTGGGAGCGGGTACCTGTCAAATTCAGGTACCCGCTCCCCCTCCCTAAAGGTCCTCAGTGTCTGGTCATGCCCTGTACTGTCTGCAGTCTCTGGTCATCCCCTGTACTGTCCGCAGTCTCTGGTCATCTGTACTGTCCGCAGTCCCTGGTCATCTGTACTGTCCGCAGTCCCTGGTCATCTCCTGTACTGTCCGCAGTCTCTGGTCATCCCCTGTACTGTCCGCAGTCTCTGGTCATCTCCTGTACTGTCTGCAGTCTCTGTTCATCCCCTGTACTGTCCACAGCCTCTGGTCATCCCCTATACTGTCTGCAGTCTCTGGTCATCCCCTATACTGTCCACAGTCTCTGGTCATCCCCTATACTGTCCACAGTCTCTGGTCATCCCCTGTACTGTCCACAGTCTCTGGTCATCCCCTGTACTGTCCGCAGTCTCTGGTCATCCCTGTACTGTCCGCAGTCTCTGGTCATCCCCTGTACTGTCCGCAGTCTCTGGTCATCCCCTGTACTGTCCGCAGTCTCTGTCATCCCCTGTACTGTCCGCAGTCTCTGGTCATCCCCCTATACTGTCCGCAGTCTCTGGTCATCCCCTATACTGTCCACAGTCTCTGGTCATCCCCTGTACTGTCCACAGTCTCTGGTCTCCCCTGGTCAGTCTCTCCCCTGTACTGTCCACAGTCTCTGGTCATCCCTGTACTGTCCACAGTCTCTGGTCATCCCCTGTATTATGTCCGCAGTCTCTGGTCATCTCCTGTACTGTGTCCGCAGTCTCTGGTCATCCCCTGTACTGTCCACAGTCTCTGGTCACTGTGTGTCCGCAGTCTCTGGTCATCTCCTGTACTGTGTCCGCAGTCTCTGGTCATCTCCTGTACTGTGTCCGCAGTCTCTGGTCATCTCCTGTACTGTGTCCGCAGTCTCTGGTCATCCCCTGTACTGTCCACAGTCTCTGGTCATCCCCTGTACTGTCCACAGTCTCTGGTCATCCTCTGTACTGTCCACAGTCTCTGGTCATCCCCTGTACTGTCCACAGTCTCTGGTCATCCCCTGTATTATGTCCGCAGCCTCTGGTCATCTCCTGTACTGTGTCCGCAGTCTCTGGTCATCTCCTGTACTGTGTCCGCAGTCTCTGGTCATCTCCTGTACTGTGTCCGCAGTCTCTGGTCATCTCCTGTACTGTGTCCGCAGTCTCTGGTCATCTCCTGTACTGTGTCCGCAGTCTCTGGTCATCTCCTGTACTGTGTCCGCAGTCTCTGGTCATCTCCTGTACTGTGTCCGCAGTCTCTAGTCCATCTCCTGTACTGTGTCCGCAGTCTCTGGTCATCTCCTGTACTGTGTCCGCAGTCTCTGGTCCTTCTCCTGTACTGTGTCCGCAGTCTCTGGTCCTTCTCTTGTACTATGTCGGCAGTCTCTGGTCATCTCCTGTACTATGTCGGCAGTCTCTGGTCATCTCCTGTACTATGTCGGCAGTCTCTGGTCATCTCCTGTACTATGTCGGCAGTCTCTGGTCATCTCCTGTACTATGTCAGCAGTCTCTGGTCATCTCCTGTACTATGTCGGCAGTCTCTGGTCCATCTCCTGTACTATGTCCGCAGTCTCTGGTCATCTCCTGTAAAATGTCCGCAGTCTCTGGTCATCTCCTGTACTATGTCTGCAGTCTCTGGTCCTCCTGTACGGTGTCTGCAGTCTCTGGTCATCTCTTGTACTGTCTGTAGTCTCTGGTCATCTCCTGTACTGTGTCTGCAGTGTCTGGTCACTTCCTGTACTATGTCTGCAGTCCATTGGTTCAGAATATTTTTTTTCTTGTTTTACTCCTCTAAAACCTAGGTGCGTCTTATGGTCAGGTGCGTCTCATGGAGCGAAAAATACGGTACATGGTCCCAGAGGTACATATTAGGAACGTAAAATGTTGGCTTTACATACTCTTTAAATTTTAGAACTGGGGTCCTCAGTTACCCGTCAGGACACTATCTGCATTTTCTGCTTGTGTTGGTTTCTATGATGGTAGGTGAAAATGGAACTTTTCCCATAACAACTTATTAAAAATAATCTACATTAGCAAGGAACAGACATTCCACATTAATAATTATGCTACTAAAATTAGTGTGTGATGTAAATTGCCTCCAGCATTGTTCCTGTTTCTTCATGCTGGAGGCTGATATTTTGCTGAAGCCCAGAGCCCCTGAGCAGCAATAAATCTTTAGGCTGTCAACAGATTGGCCTCCAGATTTTCAGCACAGTGCCGAAAAATTGAGAGCAAATGAATATGTGCAGAGCAGGGTGAGACAGTGGGTTTTTAAACAGTATAGGCGCTTATTTTTTTATGTTTTACATAGCTATAACTGCAAAAGGGGCCAGTCTGAAATTATCTATCAGGACTTTTCTGACTACAGTTCTACGTTAATTGGTCCTGTCTAAAAATGATAGTCTACTGTGCATGCCCAAGTCAGCTACCTCACCATCTGCCCCAGAAGCGCTTTGAGTCCTCAAGGAGAAAAGAATACAAATTAATTAATAATTTAAAAGTTTCTGTTTAGAATTTGAGTAATTGAGCATCACAATACCAAAAGTAAGTCAGCATAGAAAAAAATTTAGATAATAAAGTGTATGCATAGCCAAAACCTTCTTTTGTAGTTTCAGATAGAGTAAGAAAAGACAGAACCCTGAACATATTCACTGATGTGTCACACTAGCGAAATTCACTGTCTCTATTTGTCCATGAGACCACTGTCATCAGGACTGAAAGGTCATGGCTCTTCCCCTACTTTCTTGGGGCTTCCAGGATGGATCAGATCAATTCTGATTAATCAAAGTGGTCACACTGCCAGCATGTGACTAATACGAATTTCTCTGATCCATCCTGGAAGCCCCAAGGAAAAAAGAGGAAGAGCGGAATTTTCAAATCCCCAGGTCACTGCACCAAGTGCATGGGTAGTGACAGATAATCACACATGGAAGTGCAGCGGAGATCAGGGGGTGGGGGTGGAGTACGTATGGTGTTAGTGCTAGTGGTAGTAACTGTAAAGAATTACAAAAAGAAAAAAAAAAAAAGGAAGAGGACTCCCCAAGCATACACAACAAAATCTTACAAATCCATTGACTATAAATAATAAATTACATAAAACAATGCATCCTTTTACTATAATCCAACTTTAAAAATGTTATAAAATGATCTTCTATCAGTATATTATCCTGCACTGCTCAATGATTTCTCTCTGTTCAAAGGATAATGCTATTTTAAGTCAATCCACCTCTTGTGTTGCTGTTTGGCTTTAGAACAGTAGGTAGTAGAAAAAAAAACGTTTGTGTACAAAAAAGTATCAAATATAGAAGACAGAGGGGGTTACTAAACCCAGGCCTGCATTCACTATATCCTGGTCTTCCACAGTACACACAACATGAAAGTGCAATTATTTTAGTAAATATAAATTGCTAAATTCTTTTTCTCATCAGCAGTTAGAGAAGTCTTGTGAGTTCTGTCAGTGTCCAGTACAGCACTGGACAAAGCTTATAGGAGGAGTTTTCTTTCGGAGCTGATCACAAGCACTCTCCAGAGCAAAAAAAAAAAAAAAAACAACCTCTCTAGCAATACACACCAAACTGAGCATGTGTAGAGTGACTCCACAGGATATGTCTTATCAGGAGAGGAGACAAGAGGGGGACACCAGAAGAAGGGGACGGTCAGAGAAGTCAGGATCAAACAGAGTTTTTACACAATGCACAGCATGAACCCCTTAGGTTTCACAGTGAGTATAACAAGCATGCTTTACTGCGTATGCAGACTGATTTTACTGGTGTGGGTTTAGTAACACTTTAAGTAGAGAAAAAAAAGGGTAGGGAGCCTTCCTAGGCTACAGGGCTAGAGTGGAAAGAAAGCCCTCCTAAAAGGTCGAGATATGGGGCAGAAGTAAAAAGTGGGTTAACAAGAGGGTCAGTGGACACAGCCAGATATCACCACTAGGAGGTAACATTCCCCCTCTGTGACACCCTATCACTTGCTCCAGGAAGTTTTTAAATTCCAGGCTCTAACTAAATGAACTTAATATGGATTCCACCCCCCTTCTAACTCCTATTCACCCTGTACAAGGAAAATACTTTTATTTACCTATTTTCGTGACACTCTGGTCCAGTCATGTGATTGTTTCCCTGCAGCAGCAGGTGCCCATACACTGGACGAAAAATCGTTCGAAAAACTGTCATTTGGAGCACTCCTATTTTCATCCAGTTAAAGTGATTCTAATGGCTTATTTTTTTAAACAACAAACATGTCTATACTTACCTGCTGTGTGTAAAGGTTTTGCACATAGCAGCCCAGATCCTCCTCTTCTCAGGTCCCCTACCAACACTCCTGGTCCCTCCCTCCTGTCGAGTGCCCCTAGCAAGCAGCTTGCTATGGGGGCACCCACTGCTCTGTGTGTCCATTCACACAAGGAGCCGTGGCTCAGCCCCGCCCCCTTTGTCTACCAATTGGCTCACTGGCTGTGACTGACAATGGCTCCCACTTCTGTCTCACCCAACGGGGAGAGGGAGTCCCGGGATAGTCAAGACTCCAGTGCACATCGCTGAATCGAGAGGGAAAGTAAGGTGAGTATTAAGAGGGGGGGTGCATGCAGAAGGTTTTTTTTTTACCTTCATGTATAGAATGCTTGAAGGTAAAAAACCTTGAGCCTTTACAACTACTTTAATGGGCACAAATAGAAAGTCAGTTTAGACTTTTCTGAACCAAAAAAAAAAAAAAAATCAAAGAATCAAAGTGTTCGTTATTCGAAAATTAGTCTGAATGAGTTTTTCACTTAGTGTATGGTTAGTATTGGCCTAGGGTGATGTCACCACCCAGGTATTCCATCCACTGATGCACTCTCTCCTCTCCCCTGAAGAGGACCACTGGGGAGATCATGCGACTAGGCCAGAGTGCTCTGAGAATGGACATAGTATAAGCATCTTCCATCCACATGGTAGTTAGTATAGGAGCTAGGAAGGGGGGTGGGAGCCGGTTTAGGCTTAGATAGAGCCTGGAATTCCACTTTCATTTTAAGGTCTTAAAAACGTTTTGTATCCTGATGAACTTGTAAATCCAATAAAACAAAGTTTTAAAAAATAAAACATCACTGCTATTTCTTTAATTGAGGAAGTCAAATCCTCCATCATTTTGCTATCCACAATTCAACCACACAGATATTGTTGGGAGCTCGTTTTAGATTACTAATCACTGGGATACAAGAGTGAGCTACGTGAACACTTTGTATGGCTTTGTAAAGACTCTCTTAGGCAAGAAATTAAGGTGGAGAAGGAAGAAGATGCATTCATTGGATATTAAGCAGTCACTGAGTTTCAAAGTCACAGCCCAGACCAGATCCTAGAAATCTTTAAAGTGGATCTAAAGGTTCAAGGTTTTTTACCTTCATGCATGCATTCTATGCATGAAGATAAAAAAACTTTCTGTAAGCAGTGCCCCCCCAGTCCCCCCCCCAATCCTTACCGAGCCCCCCTCTGATCCAGTGAAGTTCACAATAGTCTCTCTTGTAGATGTATTCAGTTACAGGCATAAGACAAACCATTTAGCACTGGAAGGGGTGCTTACAATTATCAGCTTTCATTTATGTAAAACCTTTATCCCAAAAGGAAAAAACTATTTGCTGTAAGGTCTTTTTCAAATGGTGTGTCTGATCAGGTCCACTTATCAGTTTTTCAGGTGTACCTGATCAGATGGTCCATTCACCCCTGTGTACAAGCAAATGTAAACGTTGAAATGTTTGTCTACACCCACCTTCCCCCAGGCCCAATATGCTACGCTGAAAAAAAAAAAAAACAGGAGGATCCGTCATCCATTTAAGTGGATCGGATCGGAGGGCAAATCGGTTTCAGTTGACAGTGGAGTCCGTTTATACCCAGCACCCCAAAGAACAGAGCGGGCTCTGTCCATGTCACTCTGCATAAACTGAGAGGACACAGATGTTTGATCCACACACTCTGTACCGAACAGCCCTGTCTAAAGGAGGCCTGTTTATTAAGTATTGGATTCAATTTGTTAGTGTATTTAAATCTGCTAGTACATCTAACACTCCCCTCCCCACAGACTGACAAAGATACTGGGATTTTTAGGTTTTCTTTTATACTAATAATGGCGGCGATCAGCGAATTATGGCGGCGATCAGGGACTTATGGCAGCGACCAGCGACTTATGGCGGGACTGCGGCGGACATTCTGACATTGCGGGGTACTGACTTGGGGTCACTGACATCCCCAAAAACACTAATACAGTGATCAGTGCAAAAATAAAACCACTGACACTGTACTAATGGCAATCTGGAGGAAGGGGTTAACTTTATTTTGCAGGGAAGGGTTATAGGAGTGAGGGGAGTGTTTTACTAGGGGGCGGGGGGGTGTACTGGACGGGACAAGGCTGATTGAGAAAGAGAAACTGTTCTCTCTCGATCAGCTCATCCTCGAGCTGACAGGGAAGTGACAGACAGCACAGCTACTGCAGCTGTGCTCTCTGTCACTGTTTACCGCCGATCGCCAGGACATAGCCGCTAAGGAGCGGCTGTGACCCGGCGACTGACATCTGCGGCGGTGATCCGCGGGACAGATAGGGCGACGGCGCGCCTCGCGCGCGCCCCCTATTTGTTTACAAAACACACGTTTTAAAACGTGGTTTTGCCTGCGAGTGCTGCCCTGCCGTCGTATATGTACAGTGGTTGGGCAGCATGTAGTTAACGCAACCCCCACATCTAATGACTGGTAACCTGCAATATACTGTATTTACATTTTTGATTTG